TAAAAGAGTTGGTAACAATTCAATGAAAATGAATCACACTTGTAGATTTTTTTATAGCTGTGTCACAGTCATCGTAAGATCTACTAATAATTCCATCCACAAGATATGAATCACTTTTTCCTTAGTTGGTAGTGGTGTTGGACTAGTCTTTGAAGTTTTCACATCAGCACCAAATCCGTCGGTGGCATAGCGGTTAGGACGCTCACCGACCATGCATATGATCCGGGGTTCGTTCCCCGGCCGAAGCACTGCTTTACCTTGCTAAGCCAGAAATAATCCTGGTAAAGAGGAAAGGTTAGACATGAGACTAGCAACCCCATCCTGTAAAAACAAACACTGCTACAGAAACTTCAAGCCACTACCTTGAAGCTCTATGCTCCACTGGGAACGTGAAGGAATAAAAAAACAAAATCCGCCAGGAGAAAGTGGATGTGATCTTTCCATACAAAAATTGAGACTGCATTCCCTCGACTACCTTTCAGCTGTATTGCAAAGTATCCTGAGAATGTACACATGTCAGGTGGATTGATCTTACCTCTGCTGAACAATCTCTTGTCTGAGGCACACCGAATATGTGAAGAAGGAAGAACTAGTGAAATTCTATAAATCCGTCATTCATACGTGATTCCATGAGAGATTTGAATAATCGTAGAATTTTCGACTTATCTATCATGTTTTCACTTCTGCAAAAAAGCAAATGTTACACAACCACCTGTCTAGTCCATCCGTCGTTACAATCCGCTGAAAAAGACTCAATCTTCAAACTTTAAACTCCTTTGAATAAGTCACCCAATAATTTTCCTTTTTTTTCTAATTGAATTCGATGCATATCACATCTTTGAAAATTAGACAGATATTAATTTCTTCCCTTAAGCTGAAAAATGTAATGTCTATCTGGTTTAATTATTATTATTTATTTTAAAGCCCACCTTAGTGATGCCGAAGCAGAACTTCTCCGTGGACAGCTTTGGAAGTCTCTAAGTAGGACATATTTTACCACCAGCTTACGAGTAACAGTTTCCTGCAAAAAACTATTCAACCAACACGTGAAAGACAAACTATTTCATAGGGTCGCTTCAACATGCTTATTACCAGTTCGCTAGCTCTTGTGGAGCCAAGTGCATTGTCCACAATATGCATCCACTTGTAAAACACGCCTGGGTATACTATCCAGCATGGTTAGCACTAGGCTGACGCAATGGTATATACAGTTCATTACCAGAACGCCTGGTGAATTAAAGAGATTCAGTTCTATTTAAAAACTCCTTCAATGTCATTCATATATAGGATCCGATCAAATCTATCACAGGTAATGAAACCAAAGCATCCAGTAGTAGCTGAGTCACTAGCGATCCAAAAACGCAAGCCTACGTTGTGTATTCAAAAGAAGTACGCTCAACTGTTGTCCCTACTGTGGTCATCATGAAAAGTCAGTCCCAACAATATAATAATTTTCAAGTATTGGTTTTTGTAGAGATTTTGTTTGATTGCATGGAGGATTGAATCATGAGCTGACATCAGTTAGAGAACCACTGGAAAACCTGGGAGTACTGGACAGCTATTTCGTCCTAGTTTGGGACTCCTCGGCAGTACGCACACACCGGGATTCGAACCCAGGACCTTCTCGTTACAAGGCGAGCTCGTAGACCATTGGATCGGGTCCCAGTGGCTCAATGGTTTACGAGCTCGCCTTGTAACCAGAAGGTCCTGGGTTCGAATCCCGGTGTGTGCGTACTGCTGAGGAGTCCCAAACTAGGACGAAATAGCTGTTCAGTACTCCCAGCTGGTTTCCCAGTGGTTCTCTAACTGATGTCAGCTCATGATTCAATCCCCCATGCAATATAATAATTACCCAATTACCTTTCTTATCCAACCTTCCTGTTTATTTCTGCATTACTATATTTACTTGCTGTTTATTTCTACACATGTTCCAATTTCCTACCTATTTTGTTATTACTACTTCATTAATTCGTAATTTGTAAGAAGAGTTAAGCTTTTCAATTACTATGATCTTATTATGTCTTTTCTACCCGATCTTCCTGATTATTACTCTTCGTAATTTTATTAAGCTTAACTTTCACTGGAAACAATTCTGAAACTTTCTCCAACATTTACTATAGATACACGAATGTACAGCTGTCTAGTTGATGGCTTCGTCGGAAAGAAAATCTTTTCTTCTTTGCAGCCGCCTTTTTAATAATTCCTATGATCCATTGTCTGCATTCCGTGAATTGCATATGCTGAAAATTTTTGTACTATATGGTCATCTATTGTCTGAAATAAAGCCTTATAATAATAATTATTATTATTTCTAAATCAATAAGATGCTCAATAGCGACTGGCTGTAACTATGTAGGTAGTTATCTGGGTTCTAGTGGGAAGTCATGACCACTAGGGTGCAGCAGGTCGACTGTGAGGACAAATACTCGCCAAAGAGATTGGCTAACGTTCGCGCTATATCATGAATTGCCAGACATTGGAATTTATGCACTGGCTATTGGGTCAGGTCCCAGTGGCTCAGTGGTCTGCGAGCTCGTCTTGTTACCAGAAGGTCCCAGGTTCGAACTCTGGTGTGGGGGGGGTGTAGATTAATGAAGAGTCTCAAACTAGGACAGGGGAAATCGCTGTCTAGTACTCCCTATTGCTTTTCTAATAGTTCTCTAACTGATCTCAGCTCATAATAAAATCCTGCAGGCGAAGTTCAACAATAGCGTCCCAGGTTTGCGAACGCTCCACTGACCTTGAACGCATGCTAGTCGTTGTCTTACGTCATCTGGCATTATCAAAACTGAAATATCAGTGATATTCACCGACTAGTAAGCGAATTTCATCCTGATCACGTTATTAAGTACTTCTTGGGCAGTGTGTTAATAGATCGCTAGGTTTACAATTAGGGTTAAGGTAAGTATTTAGGTTAGGGTTAAATCAGGGTCAGAATTAGGATTAGGGTTAGACTTACGGGTTAGGGTTAGTCTTAAGTTCACGATTAAGGTCAGGACTACGATTAAAGAGATAGATTTAGAGTTGATGTCATTTATTTTAATTTGTTTTATTATCCACACTTCCCTGATAAGTAGTTGTCTATCCTCTTAATGGAAACCACGGTAATTCAACCGAGAGCTTTGGGGGAGGATGACTGCACAACAAGATAAAAGAGATAAACGATACACAAACACAGCTCATTTTCAGTCACCTTGATGAATACATGTACAGAAACTGGTCTAACTTAGCAAATGATACTCCTCACCATAAATAACTTGGACACATTTTAAGTCTTGCCAGAAAAAGATACCCTGTTCGATGTGTTTTCATGTATTTTCCTGCAAGTATATGTCATTTTTTCATGCAAAAATGCCTCATTTATATGATTGATCGGCTGAAGGACACTCGTGCGTTTGCACCCCCTTAGGAAGCTATTGTTGAAATTTGCTATCCTACAATCAGTTATTATAATTATTATTATTATAAATACACAGTTTTTTTGTTCAGCGAAGAAATTTCTCCATTCAACGACTTCATTTTCAAGCTAACTGTACAGTCGTATTTATATTACAGAAAAAGGTTATTAAGTGGCACTAAATAATTAATTGCTCAGTCACAATACGTATATATGTGATAAAAGTTATAAGGGGTAGAGTTGAAGTGGATAAATTACAACAATATTAAAGATTGTTTTATAACAAAAATGTCAAGTGTTGTCTAAAAATTTTGAAAATTAGGGGTACGATTACGATAAGAATGAAGATGTGAAGTGAAGTGGAAAGAATTCAAGTGGTAAAATAAAATAAAAACTAGAAAGAAAATTATTATGACCAAGGTAAAGAAAGGGGTTTGACAAAACGCTTTTGAACACATAATATAGGTTTCTGTTCATGTATAGCTAAAGCTTCGGCTAGTTATGCATAAGTGAAGAAAACGTAAACTTTTGAATCGATTCAATTTTGCCATGTAGATAACTTTGAAAGATGAATCACGTGAGGCTAAATGACCAGACTCTAACAGCTGATCACAAATAGACGACTTTGCAGTTCTTCGCGTTCGCCTTTCATTAACCAAACCGGATAGTGTTCAGCTACACGTTTTCCGAGATTACGCTTACAACGTCAATAAACAGCTCTACAAGAGCAGGTACAAGAGTAAGTGCACATAGATGTGGACAAAAGCGGTAATCTATCCTTGACGCATTGTCTCATCATATTTCGGCTGGCAAAAACTAGTTGCAAGTCAGCTGCAGGAAAAGTGCGTTTAACACATTTAGATAAACGATTTTTAATCAATTCTGAAATGGCGTCACCTTTCAATCCCAAAATCATAAACAGTTTTTCCTTTGGAACTGTGATTTCTCTAGGGGTGGATTCTTTCTTGATGTTACGTTCATTGAACCTCGTAGGATAACCATTGTTAAGGAGATTTGATCTAAAGTTATCTAGTTCCCTATCGATTGTCTCTGCAGAGCAGATTTTACGAATTCTGGAGCACAAGGAATGAATAAGATTTCTCTTTCTCCCTAAAGGTACCAAACTGTTGAAGTTAGTGTACTGCCCAGTGAATGTTGGCTTGCGGTAAATCGATCTTAACAGCGTTCCTTTCTCTCTTCTATCTAGCTTAACATCAAGGAAGTGAAACGAGGAATTCGACTCTTCTTCAACCGTGAAAAAGAAAGATGGGCCAGAACCATTGAATATTCTAAGAAGTTCGGTAGTCGAAGAGTTTTTATCACATACAATGAAGGTATCATCAATATATCTCTTATACATAAACAAACTATCGATGGTTTCCTTTAATGGGCCATTCTCTAAGCTTGCCATGAAGATGTCTGCTAAGAGCGGTCCTAAAGGAGACCCCATAGTGACTCCATCCCTTTGATTGTAGATGACATCATTAAATCTAAATTGCACATTCAGTGTGCATCTCAATAATAGTTGTTTAAGATAATCAGTTGGTAAGCCAATGTTCATGCTATTATAAATACGTATTAGAAATACAACAACGCGATATGCACCACAGACAAATTTGTATTTAGTAAATCTTACAGTTTCACTCTAATTAACAATAGCCACAAATTAAATAAATATTCATTCATATTGTGAAATAAATGAACAGGTTCTTATTTTTTTTAATGATGTGATAATGATGACCTAATCAAAGGAAAACAAAATACAAAAAAATGAGGAGTAAAGGTGAGGAATAATCATGCCATGGATAGGGAATACTTCCTAGTCTTATTTTTAATGAGAATAGGTATTATTGTTTATTGATTTTTTGACGATTTGATTGTATAATGATTGCACTGCACGTGGTCGACGTTTTTGATTTGATCGATGAGTACAAGCACCTTTCCAACACTGAAATATTAAATAATAATAATAATAATGAATTCAATTAACGGCAAAGTGAAATTATCATAGATGAAATCACAGTGACCTTGAACAGCCAATCAGAATCCAGACGCCAAAAAGTCGCATAATCGTTGAAAAATTCACTAAAAACAATTGTAAAAATTATATTACATTATTTAGTTGTGGCTTCTGTGTTGTAAGAATGCTTCGCAGTCATTAAGCAGATGATCTATTGAGAAATCATATCATGAGTGATAAAGGCATTCATCCAGGTGACTGTGTAGGTCATGGTACTTTGAGGTCCACTGATATTTCTGACACTTATTTTCAACCTACTTTAATCCAAAGCCTTATTCTTAAAAGCCATAACCCTCGCTAGTCGTATAGATGTACAGGAAAAGTACCTGGGAAATAAGGAGAACACTGTATCTACCTTCTCCAAGTCCAAAAGGGTAGACATGATTTGATTCTGAGTGACCTTTCGTAGGTAGCGTTCATTCTGTCTCATTGGTTCTTGAAGGTCAACTTGACTTTATCTATGATAATTTAACTTCGCCCAATTCACTTTAGTTAAAAGATTATTTCTCATGTCAATTCTAAAACAAGTTTCACTTATCATCATTAGTGTCAAAAATTTGAAGAAAATCAATTCACCTGCTCGTGTGAAGCCAGCAGGTATGTCGACCGTACCCAGCGTTCGCTTTCCAAACGTATCACCGAACAGTTACCAACATGGTTTTACAAAGAAGAAAAACGATGTCCCTGCAGCTTCATCTTAGAACATCTGATAAAATCCCGACAGCAAGTTACACCCCAAACAAACTTCAAAGTAGTCTGCAACAGAATAAGAAGCAGTCTTCCTAAAGGTAGACGAATCAGACATCTTCAAACTGCAGAAGCAATGGTGATTCACTTGCTAAGCCCTGAACTCTGCATACAGAAGAAGTTCGTTCAATCACGACACTTGCAATGGACTTAATCTATCTTATTACAAGTAAATTCTACCTAATCCTTTTCGCTCCTGTTTCTTCATTAGTATTATTTTTTCTTCTTAATTGTAATATTTTGCATTTTCAACTTTCTTGTTCTCTACCCCCACCCGATTTAATTTTTACACCTCAATACCACTGTTACTGACTTGACCAACGCTCAATTTCTAGTCATTTCTGTTACGTCATCCAACTTATTTGCTCAATTTCAGTTGTAATTTAAATGGCATTATTATCTACCCCACTTCTATCTAGTCTCTACCTCTAATTACCTCTGTTGCTACCCTGACCTAAGTTGAAACATTTTAGCCAATTATATCACATCATCTAAGTTACTAACTCAATCTTACTTTAGTTGCTGTCTGATTAACCTTGTTTCTATATTAGATCATTCTTGTATTTATTACCTGATCAATTATCTAAACTTGATAAACCTCATGAACACATACAAATAATAGTATATAAATGCGATTGCATAGCTATGTGAATGAATTCGCCGAAAGAGTCTCTTCGCTGAACGTCTTCTCTTTTTCAAAATCATTTTTTCACATATCCAGGCAGTTACAAGTGGTGACACAGATGAGGGTGTCAAAACCAGGCAGGAACGGAAAAGCAAACAAGACAGGCATTCAGTCCTGTGAAGTCATTGTGGAAATCTACTGTGCTCAGCATAAACAACATGATCAGGATCTTTAATTTTAATACGGCTTAGAGACTTAATCCACATATCACGACAAGCATTTCCTACAGACTGTCGAAGAATTCTATCAATAATTGGCGTTCTCACTCGATGCTGAAGGTCAGATGGCCAACAAAAAGGGATTAGCAAATAAAGAAACTTTGGTAAGGAATAACCCAACAACCTTATACCCAAAAAAAAGTACGCATAAAGAATTGAGGATAGAGAACAGTTAAACTCTCAGGAGACCATTGAGTGGTTTCAAGCAATAGGTCCTCAAATTAGACCGGAATGAGAAACGACGAGTTGAGTATTGATCTAAGGGTGACATGGTACAGATCATGTGATGACAAGGTACAAAGGGCTTATGAACAGTTGAAAAAGACTTTAGAAATGGTGATGCACTACTGAAACTCTGTGCTGCACTCAGAAGGCAAAGGAATAAAGCAGTAAAAATAAAATTTGTGGAGTGGAAGAGAACCATCAAGGCATTGAACATTGGAGTATTATAAATTGACTTTAGGGTAGATTTAGTCATGGAACACTGTAAACAAGAGAGTTCAATTTAAACTACAGATCACTGGATAGATGTTTCTAGCTCAGATTGATGTATATAATGTCTACTTGCTTTCTATGGTGTACGATTTAGTTGCTGAGCTTCCAATATTGACTGGGCACTTATCCAGTAACTAGTGTAATGTGTCTAGTCCTCTGTTTGCTGCAGGCCAAAATTCTATCAGCTAAGTATGCAATGTGGCTATCATGCCACCAAGTGGCTCACTATCATGATGCACTGTGAACTGTTAATATTAGATGGTTAGAGGCAAGTGGTAGGAAGCTCTGCTTGGACCTAGATTTCATGCTAGTTGGCACACACCAGTCAGGAAAGTGTCTATGCAGACTTGAACATTTACAACACTGCAAACCTGCATGATAGAATTCAGTCTGCGCCAAACACAGGACTAGACACAACACACCAGTTACTGTAATATTATTGTTATTATTATTATTATTGTTTCCTTTAGTTCCTAGAGGAATATAGGGCTTGAGCCTCAAGTTTCCATTTCGTCCGGTACTCTGCCAACGGCTTCACCTGGTTCCAAATCTGCCCACATGCTTTCATCTCCTCTTTATATAACCTCCTTCATGTCATCCCACCCTTGCACTGACGACCAGCTCGCTGCTTCCCATTCGGGTTCCACTCAAGTGATGGCCTGTCTTGTGATGTCACTTGATGGTTTGTGTTTTTCCGGAGTATGGCCAGCCAATCCACCTCCATTTCCTCCTGCATATTTGTTGCAAAATCAGTTGCTGGTTGATTTGCTCCCAGAGATCCCTCCCTGTTGCTGATCTTTTCTGGCCGGCTATCTAATCTTGAGTATTATTGAGCGAAGGCAGCTGTTGATGAAGGTTTGTAGTTTGTTTGACGTCTGTTTCTTTTGTTGACTGATAATACCTATAAAAATGTGTTTGGCATTTTGTGACTATCTATAATTGTGTATGTTGTTGGCCTTGCATATCCAATTTGACCTAACTCAGTGAGTCTATGGTTTTGATATCATTTTTGTCAACTGTTATTTTTTTAAACAATGATACTACTGATGCGGTTTTTTATTGTTGTTGTCGTCACTCTTTATGTTTTAATTTTTTTATTTTCCCTTTACTGGTGTTGTTCAGATTGCTTTATTCCTTGTTTTCTTGATGTTAAAGGGAACAACCCAAAATATCTCTCTGCTGTAACTTATACATTCACGTAATAATCCCCCTTCTCAGGCATGAGGCTAGCAACCCCACCCTGAAAACAAAGTTGCTACAGCAACTTTAGCACGATGAGTCTCCTTGTGATAAAATACAAAGTCTATCTGGGGAGGTGGAACGTCCTCAGCATGTACGAGACTGGGAAAGCTGTTCAGATTGCAAACGAGATGAAAAGATACCCTAGTTACTGATTGATGTCCAATTAAAAATACCCAATGTCCTATAGGAGGTCAATGGTGAGTCCGAATAGCTCAGTAGTAACCTCTTTGACGGGAGATGTGGGTTTGAATCTTGGAAGGGACATTAATTCCTTCTAGGTTGACGATACACCTTGATGTGACTGGTGAGTGTTAGCGCTAGCTCGAAACCTAGGTCCATAGCTTCCTAATGATTGCAACCAACCGCCAAAGCTTTCATTATCCTCAGTACTAACTTCACGGTAGAGTTATTTTTTGTCCTGGATATACAGTCCGTCAAGAAACTAAGAATAGTGCTTGGAGATCATATCTATTATACAGAAATACTCATAAATTTTCACACTAATCAAAACACCATGCGAAACATGGTCTACAATCATAATCTCCGGCCCCCAGCACCCCCTCTATTCCCAACTCTCTCGTTGTATCTCATCAGGTAGAATTAGAAACTAGTATAAAGTAATATATGCTCGTATAACCAATTACAGGAACTCAACGATACCATATTTGGCCAGCCAGTGTTCTAAGTGAGACAGAGACAATGTTAAATGTGAAACCTATGACTTGCTTTGTTGTTAATAACATAATTTTGGCTCTTTTATTTCTCTCTTATTTGTATTTTATAGTGAACAACCTTCTTAAACATACTTAGCTACCTAAATTGATAACATTGGCTTACTTTTTTGTACTTCACTCTATTCCTTTTTTATGTATCTACTGGTTTTTTGACTATATTAGCTCTATGAGTATTACAAAATTGTCCTGTCATTAACCATCATGTAATATTAGTTTTGTGGTTGTTTTTTGTTCGGTAATATTAACTGACAATCTTGGTTGTGAACGTCCTTATCACCATCTTAAAAATTTTGTATTATGCAGGATTACTCACATTACCACTACAAACACCCCATTAGAGCTGACAATAAAAACACAACCTGAAATGTTTATTTTATGATTGTTTAGTGTAGTTCAATCAAATTAACTGTTCATCATGGCGATAAACATTCTTAAAAATATCATTTCATAACTTCTTATACAATTATAGCTTTACTGCCACCATGCATAAACATATCATAGCTTCCACTACCCAATACTGAGATATTATTTATAATGCTGTTTATTTTCCATTCTACTTCTTGGTATTTTTTCGCGTTTTTTTGTTGTTATTTTTGTGTTTCTTTTTGGTTTTTTGTTGTGTTTTTTTATATTTATTTTTTTGTAATACTCCTTTTAAATATACGATGAAATTAGATGCAATATTGTAGATATGTGCTGAAAATTCCACACTGTACCACTAGTACTGTTTCTGGAATAAAGCGAAATTATTATTATTATTAAAAAAAAGAACAAATTTTTAAAAGGAAATAATAAAACAATACGATTCAAACTTACCGCTAATCTTTTTGTATAACGTCTAACACGTGATAGAAATACAGTATTAGTAGTAATATGTAATGTTTGTCTTGATTGAAATGAATGCGTTAGCATCAAGTACTTTTTACCCACAATAATTTCATCCATACACATACATTTTAATGGCCATGAATAAGTTAATATCATATTTTCATCATATGGATGTATGTCTGAATCGAATGTTTTTAAAACATGAAAACGAAACAATGGCTGGTAGTGATCATTTTTACCAAACCACCATAATGTACCAGATATTCGAATAATAGCAGCTAAAAAGAAAAGAATATAGGAAAAAAAAGGATTCATTATGACAAATATAGATGGAGAAGATTTGTAGTTCGCGTGGATGATTTTGATGTGGTTGTGTTCTCTATGCTGGATAGTTAATTTGTGAAGCTTTCATTGACCTGTAAGACAACATCTTCAACATATACTTCAATGTGTTGAAGTGAGCTTTTCAATTATTCTATGAGTTTATCAATCATCTCTCCTCGTCGATGACCTTGAATGTGATTGGTTGTTTTTGTGTGTTTTCACACCCTCTAGCCTGCTTGTTTCCTTGACTTGAACTGGGATCCTCTGTGTGTGGGATTTCCTTCTCATCAATTGGTAAATTTTGTCTATTTCGATGTGTCTATTGATCGATGATTTACCGGAATACCAGGCTGGCTTCTACAAATTCTCTAGTATTCTTGGTGTTTCCTATGTCTAATATTTGAACGTTGGTTGTCCCAGTCGAATTGATGTCCGTGGCTGTTTGTATGCAGTGAGGTGATATGAGGGAGGGGTGGATGTCATGTCTTTTGATGGCTAGCTTATGATCATGGATACGAAGACGAAGGGGGGGGGGTCAACTTTGTCTAATGTAGTGCTTTTCGCAGTTGTTACAACTGATCTTGTAAATGATGTTGGTTTTATCTCCTTCTACGGGGAAAAGAATAATACACTCATGCAGAAATCTAAAAGCTCACTTCATCAGATTGAAGTATGCGCTGAAGATGTCACCTAGTAGGGCGATGAAAGCTTCGCAAATTAACTATCTAGCTCAGAGAACACAACCACATCAAAATAGATGTAATATTATTATTACCACTTTATTCCTTTGAGTTCCAAGGGGAACATAGAGCTTTAGGCTTTAACTTTCAAGTTTGAGCTGCAGATGCTTTGTTTTTCAAACATTAACGTTGCTAGATCTCACTTCTAACCTTCTTTTTTCGCCAGACTTACTAGAAGGTGACCCATCTCCAGACGTTGTCAAGATTGGCGAGTGTAATTCTACCGGTGGACCGCTAATGTGCAAGGAACACACATCCTTTTGATTACAGCATTATTCCACACCGTATTTTTGGTACAAGTATGGAATTTTCAGCATGTGTTATCGGTAGCCCAAATTTTGCAGGCCGACCATTGATATCAGGTGTGCGTCGGCAGGGGATCGAACCTCGGACCATGTGCATGATCAGTGAGAGTCCTAACCACTGTGCCACCGACGTACACATATACACTGGATAAAACACAAACCGAATAGCGTTACTGATGATTCCTATAAGGCTAGAGATGGTAAAACACTCCATAAGGAGGGTAAAATTATTGTCGTACATTAAACTGTTACTTTAATAGATGACAAGAAATTGGATGTTTCGCGTGACAAGAAAGACCTTTTTGAATTTGTTATTAGTAGAAGAACAGGTTATTAAAGGATAGGTCAAATGAGCCTAGACCAACAAGCCTACCAAACTATATCTATGGTTCCAAAATGTGTCACAGGTATAACTGTGACATGTACTACTGATAATATTTATCAGTCGTATATAAAGGCACCTTCATTGCCACACAAAACACACTAGGAAATAAGAGCAGAAGTAGCACAACACAGAAAACCTGCGGAAATGATGGGTTTCAGATAAGGTGTACATAATTTCGCTACACAGAGATACTAAATTCCAAATAAACATTTTTTACCAAGTCTCTTATCCTCAGCCATTACATAACTTATCCTGGTGCATTTCTATGTTTGACACAACACTGAAATGCAACTTATGTTTAAGTAAACTATTCTGCCATAAGATAACTTATTAGTGTGAAGTTTCTAATTAGTAGGCATACCCATATCACAATGAATCTTTAACTGGCTAAATAAGGTTTGAATAAAGCAAGAAGAATAGTTTGTGCAGAATAAGATGGTACCATCTTGCAACTGGTTGGCTTCTCATCAGTTGTGTACTGTTTGAAGAAATCATTAGGTGGTTTATGTACAGGACAGTTTTAACATACTTGCAAATGAAACATGATGTTGGGTATTGATTACACTTATACGGCTTTTACTCAGAAAGTTCAAGTATAAACAAAAATCAGTATATATTATTATTGTTCCCTTGGGTTCCTAGTGGAACATAGGACTTCAACTGCACGTCTCCATTTGCCAATTCTGTCTTCCTTCTACTGTACTTTTCACATCCATCCATGTTAGGCCATACTCTTTCAACTCCTCTCTCTTCACACGATCTCCTCCATGTCACCATTGCACTGACGACCCACTCGCCGCTTCCTTTCGGACGGGTTACACTCAAGAAATGGCCTGACGCGCGCGCGGTGTCACCCAGAGGCGGCCTCCTCACTCAGCGAGTGTCCATTCCATCTCAATCCACTTTCTCCTGCATATCTTATTACAGATGATACCATCGCTAATACTATTATCTGCTTTTACAGACTCTTTCTCAATATCTTTCGCCTAGAAGGAATCATTCCTTATGAGATTCAATGGGGGCTATTTTTCTTCATTGAATAACCTTTAAGAACAGAATGATTAATCAAAAACCCTGTTGCCAGAAGACCAACATTGTCTGAATATAGTCTGATATACAACTTCTATAAATAGCATATAGTTTATAAATTTTCATTACGTCAAGCAGGGATAGGACTCGATGCCTCGCAGTGTAATAGCTGCTCGAGCACTTACGTCTCCCCGACAAAACATTAAGTCTTCTACAAACGATTTAGTATCCTCACGCTCATACCACAATTAGATATCGTATCGACCCCTACACCCCGAAATCCGGAGCATAGTTTATGGTCATCGCTCTGGTGTAACACCAGACCTAATGGGCCTAGCCGAACACACGGTATAGTTCAGACACCAAAAGGAATACGTAAGCTTGCCCAGCCACTTGTCGGATACGGAATGTACCGTTGCAGATATGCACGGAATTCAGACTTAGAGTCGTTCAGTCTTAATCTCTCAGATGGTAGCTTCGCATCTTTGGCCTTTCGACCAGGCACATATACCAGTTGTCTGAACCTACGGCTCCTCTCGTACTAAACAGGATTACCATAGCAACGGCCAGATTGTACTTCAGTAATTACTGTATTCATTAGTAGGGTAAAACTGCGGTCTAAACCCAGCTCAAAATTCCCTATTAGTGGGTGAACAATCCAACGCTTGGTGAATTCTGCTTCACAATGATAGGAAGAGCCGACATCGAAGGATCAGCATGATTCATGCAAGCAAATATGTATTTTCGGTAAATTTTTATCAGGCTTACTATAGATGCTAAAAGCACTGAAATACCGCATGCTTCAAACAGCAGAGTCTATCGCTACTCACCTTAAATAACCAAGGCTCTGTGTACAGAAGAAACACGTCCAGCCAGTCACTACTACTAGCCTTAGCCTTAAGCAGAGACTATAAATTCATGAATTTTTTTATTATCATCTTTCCTAATTTCTCTGACGATTCATTCAGCGTATTGTTATGCTGATACTGTCGGATCGTAATCCATTGATATAAGTATTATTGATTCGATGTTATTTAAACAGCAACATTAATGTTGTTGTTAATAACACCAATTCATTCAGTATTATGTGTATATATAACTGTAGAACCTGATGATGAAATTATCGAACAGAGTATTCTTTATTCAGTAAGCATTCTTTTGAAAAATTGAGAACCAAATAATATCAATAATAATAGCAATTCTAATAATAGTAAAGTAATAATAATATTAATGATGTTAAAAGGAGTTAAGATAATGTTAATGATAAAAGATATTTCATGTGAATCAGAAATAGTAATGATGTGAAGTAGAATAAAATATTAATTAGAATAACAGCTAATACGTAAAATATAATACTATGGTAGTTTTTGAGTTACCGCCATTCCCTTTTTCTACACACAGACCTGGTTTATAAACTCTAATTGCACAAGACTCCGCAGTTGCAAGCATCTTCATGTTACTTCGCTTGCTAACTTGATCGAGTCAGTATCATGTTCGTAGTCCACAATTATTATTATATTATTATTGTTCCCTTGGGCTCCTAGTGGAACATAGGAATTCAACTGCACGTCTCCATTTGCCAATTCTGTCTTCCTTCTACTGCACTTTTCACCTCCATCCATGTCAGTCCATACTCTTTCAACTCCTCTCTCTTCACACGATCTCCTCCATGTCACCCTTGCACTGACGTCCCACTCGCCGCTTCCCTTTCGGCCAGGTTACACTCAAGAAATGGCCTGACGCGCGCGCGGTGTCACCCAGAGGCGGCCTCCTCACTCAGCGAGTGTCCATTCCATCTCAATCCACTTTCTCCTGCATATTTGTTGGTTGGCGATTCCTTCTTGTTTTGTTTGTATGTTCCCATGGTTTCTTGTTGGTGATTGTTTCCGGCCCGGCCGGTCATCTGATCTTCAGTATAGATCCAGAGAAGACAGTTGTTGGTTGATGAAGGTCTGCATGCAACAGGCTGTTGGAAATATTCTTTGTGACCCGCCCGCCAAGTTTCTGATCCGTATAGAAGAACTGACTGACTTGACGTGGTTTGTATTGAAAATCTGACTGAATTTTGTTGTTGATGCTGGCTGAGTGACGAAGATTTCCAGATTGGTTTCAGGTTGATGGATGAATGTGTTTCTCGTCCCCCTTCCCGATTCTCGCTCGATTTGACATCCTCGTCCGTTCCGACTTCCTGTAGATGAGACAATGCTCCTTAGCTAGATAAGTGAAGTGAATGAAGTAACCTCTTTCAAATCCCTCCGGTTAATGGTGACTGGCGCTGGATGCTGCTGCTGCTGCAGTTGTTGTTGTTGGTGGTGGTTGGTTGGTTATTTTCATAACCTCCATCTTGTCATTGTTCACCTGGAGTCCTGTCTTCGCCGACTGCTTCTTCGACCAGTTTGTCGATTTTCGTAGTCCACAAGAGGCTATGTTACTGATTTTTTAGGCACTTTGACTTTACCTTTTTTCAACCACCTCTGCAAATTCTCTATCATATGAGTGGACAATCGCCTTTCTGTACTACTCATTTTATTTGTTTCCACAATCGCACTCAGACTGATATGCACAGTTTGAAGTATAGAGGAATGGCAACGGGTCTTTCCCAGATTGCTGAAGCACACATGAGTTTCGCAGTATATTGTTTTCTTGATAACTCTGTCGAGTCTTCGTTACACTACTTCTTGCACATCATCTTCTTTTTGGATAGTTTTACTGGGTTTCATTTTTTTTAGAGTATTAATTGATGAACTTCTCAGGTTATGCATTCTTAGATAAAATATCCTCCAGATTTATTACTTTTTGTTAAATTGTACTGTCGGAACAAAGTTTTCGTACTCTATTGAACAGGGTTCTGACTAAGTTCTTTTTATATTGGATTAGAACAAAGTTTTTAAAATGTATGTTCTGTCCTGTCAATGAAGACTTCTAAAAATATGGATCTTTCCACTGTTCTATCAGTCCTTTACACATTAGAGAAGCATCTAGGAATTTTCCTCGTCTTCCATTGTGGAGTTATGTTTTGGATGGTATGAGTTAATTTTTATCGATTGATCTTCAGCAAATGATTTGCTTTCAAAGACAATAAAAATGTCATCAACATATCCTGGGTATAGTTCCATCTGTTGTATATGCTATTGAAAAGTACGAGCCTCCAGGCCTTACAAGAATAAATCCACATAAAGTAGTCTTAATTGGCTACCCGTTGTAACACCATCAACTTCATGGAACGCAACGCCTAGCGAATTGAAATTGAACATTTTTAGTTGCTCGTATATAAGTGTGATTCGAATATGAAAGTAGTGATACAGAATCCCAAAATCCCTCATCACTTCCAACTCACACAATCTCCTCCAAATCGCCTTCGCACCAAAGACCCACTCGCCTCTTCCCATTGGGATCCCACTGCTTTTGTTTAGCTCTCTAGTTGTTCGATGTATAAATATTTTCCTCTGCAGGAACAGCTGAATTCGCAAATGCGCATAGAATCGAGAGAGATAGGTAGCTCACCTTTCGCTTGAGCAAGCATACACAATTGGGCGGCTGAAAATTGATAGACAAAGGGCTGCAGAAGTATAAGTCCATTTTATCGCGCTAGATAGATGTAGTATTTCACTAGCCACGTCCCTGTTGAATTGCAGTTTCAGGAAGAGGTGTTTCTTTTTTAACCGTTGTCAGTTTCTCTTTATTATAATTTATGGTATTCATATGTCGCCTTACAAATCTCCTAGGATAACCCATTATGTACTTTCGGTTAACATCAATCTTATGATCTTAATTCTTGCTATATCACTAGAATTATCGTTATTACTGACGTTGAAATCATTTGTCACTTGTTATGAATATAATCTGATCGACAAACTCACTGTCATTGATGAAATTGTTTTTTTATAAATGAAGGTGTGTGAATTCGAGTAAAGCCTGAAGAAGATCTAATTGAATAGAGCGATATTGTTCGCTTATATATGTCTTGCTCTAATTTTTGACAATGAGAACATTTAAAAATTTGTAAAACTTACCAACAGTAAAATTAGCTTTTATCCATTGATTTCGTGTAAATGTTGTTGGAAACATTGAATTGCACTTCTCAGTTATATCGCTTGGACATCCAGGATTCACTATGAAATAAAAATGTGAAGTAAATAGATTCGATAGATGTTACTATGCAAAATACATTACAAGATTTATTATTCCATCTCTAAGGTTCTAGTTGTACCACTTCTTATAAAAAAAAGTGACATAAGTATAAAAAATTGGAGCATAAATGTAGAATATGACTTCCGAATTGAACTTCATAATGCAGCAACATTATTGAAACAGTCATTGAAAACCCGGTAGAGTACAGTATATATATATATGTTTCGTTCTGGTTCGAGAATCTTCATTAAGTATACTGATGATCTGACTATTTCAGTGCTTGTTAACTCACAGCTAGACTGTACTAAGATGAACAGCTTTCTATCAGCAGTTATCGAATACTATTTGTTTAACTGTCTTAAACTAAATCTTTCTAACTGGAAGGTATGCAAGTGAAAAGCAACAAGCTGGCAAAAGAGGCATCAAAGATACGAAGAACTTCAAGTGAACTTAGGGAAAACAGAGGGGATGAAGATTCCTGGCCAACACCAACAGCCACAGCAACAACAACAGACAACAATCAGCCAGCATAAATGGGAGGAACCTGAAAGAAACAACCTCCTTTACCTACCCACTTACCTGGGAAACATCGTTTCAACTACAGGCGGACGGAACTGACGAGGATATCAAAGCAAGGATTGGAAAAGCAAGATAAGCTTTCATTACTCTTAAGTCTGTGTGGAGGTCAACAGCACTCGGCATCAAAAATAACATCCGGATTTTCAACTCCAATGTGAAGTCAGTCAGTGCTACAATACGGATCAGAGACCTGGCGCGTCATAAAGAGCATCTCAGACAAACTTCAGACCTTCATCAACAGTTGTCTTCTCTCAATACTCAAGATCAGATGGCCAGAAAAGATCAGCAACAAGGATCTCTGGCAGTGAGCGAACCAACCAGGAACCGATTGTGAAACAAATAGGCAAGAAGAAATGGAGATGGATTGACCATACACTGAGGAAACCATCGAGTGACATCACTAGACAAGCCATTGCTCGAGTGGAACCCGAAAGGGAAGCGGCGAGGTGGTCGTCAGTGCGAGGGTGGGGTGACATGGAGGAAGTCATGTGAAGAGAAGATGAAAGCGTGTGGGAAGACTTGGCGCGGGGTGAAAACGTCGGCAGAGAACCGAACGCAATGGAGACGTGCGGCTGAAGCTCTATGTTCCTCTAGGAATTAAAGGAAATAATAATAAAAATATAATATAAATCTTTCCAAAAGTCAAACCTGTAATTTCAGTTTCCTATGTAAAAATAAAGTTAAATGAAGCTATTAATTTCCATGATTGTTGTAAAATTGATGACACTGATATAGAAATCAAGTCAGACGTTAAGTATCTTGGACTTATTCCTTCTTCTGATGTATCCTGCTATTTATAGTAGAACATTCCATCTGAAATTTTGCATTAGGAAGTTAAAGCACTCGGGCATAACTCAACTCTTCCTCCTCTTACAGTCTGTTTGTCAACTCTTGCATCTCAACTGCTCTTCTATATTGTCCACCCTTACTTATTCTCTCCTGGGTCGCTTAAGAGAAAAGACTATTTCATACTTTGTAGGACTCTGAAGACTGTCAGTAGGGCGAGTGGTGGTATCGCATTGGGCTACACCCTTGACATCGTCATTGATGATAGGCACTTCATAAATTCATGCAATACATTTGCCAAGAGGATTTTGTCACAGTGTGAGCATCCAATTTACCCACAGCTTTCACCTTGCGTCTCCTCCTCCTTAGATAGACCAAGAAGTCATTTCAAAAGACTTTATGCCTGCAATTCAAAGCGTATAAATTCCAAGATACTATATTTGGCATGTATTCTATGTGGTGAAGGCGGTGTCAGGCACGAAATGACTAACCTTCTTCCCACTGGTAAATAAACAATTTTTTCTATTCGTATTAATTTGTTTATTAGATATATCACATACAGTGATGAAACAGTGTTATTTACTGGATGATGAAGTTTCAAACGCAATGTATCACTCCTCATAATCATATCAGTTATAATCGAATGACTTCGAAACTTCAGTCTTTTAGTTTTCTTTATTTCTTCTTATTTGTTGTTGTAGGGTTTAATAGACCTTTCCAGATATTTGGGAAAGGTGCTGAATCATTCCTATTTCACGTATTTGCAGTTGACTCGATAAATAAGGCTTCCGTTATCAATCTCTCCCTCTCCAACCTGTTACATTAGGTTTTAAAACTGTCATCGTATCCCATCATCTTTATTGAATGTTTTTATGTAATTGCATGTAGTGAGTGCTACAGCTGAACTATTCTTTAGATTTCTTATGTTACTCCCCGTTTCTATACCATCAAATTTTACTGTTATTATTCTTATTATATCAATGGTTCTCACCATGCTCTCTCAAGAGAATAAAAGATTCAATACTCTATAACATGCTAAGATTTCCATCTGTCTGTCTGTCTAAATTCAATATAGAAATTGGAACCGAAGTGCACCAGTTCGAGTTGCCACGTTCCAAATAGCACACAAAGGTAGACAAGAAGATGAGTGAAGAGAATCAATAGAGTTTGACAAGTATAAGAGTGAAACAGAATGGGTAATGGTAGAAAGGAATATGAAAGATTACAGAGACTGAATACATCTGCGCTGGCCATTGACAACGATTTTGAGGCATGTCACCTATTGTCTCCAGCCATTGATTCCTTGAGTCCCGAGGGCCCCAACCCGGAAGTCTGCATCTCCCTACCTGACTCAGTTTAACTGTCAAGGATTTCATGGACTGATGAGGCCATGTTTTTGTTTGGCCACCACTGGCTCTTTTCCAACCTGTACCTATATCAGCTAGCAATGCCCGTCGGGGGAGGCGATGGTTAGGCATGCACAGCACGTGACCTAGCCATCTCAGTCTATGTAACTTTATAGCCTCGTCGATTGATTTTCCCTCTTTGCCCAACACTCTACGCCTAACGTCAACATTACTTATCTTGTGAAACCACCTAACGTGAGACAGAGATCGCAGACATCTATGATCGAAAGCAGTCAACCTTTTCATGTCTTCAACTCGTATTGGCCATGTTTCAGAGCCATAGAGAAGGACGGAGCGAACTGCTGAGCAGTACACACGTCCCTTGGTTGATAGCCGGATGTCACGCCTACGCCAGAGATGGTGTAAGTCAGCGAAAGCAGCTCGAGCTTTTCGGATCCGTGCTGAGATTTCATCGCCAATCAGTCCGTTGGTGCTAATACAACTTCCCAAATAGGTGAAGTGGTCAACATGTTCTATCACTTCACTCCCTATCACTAAGTTAGGAGTTGACGTGGTCCAGTCCTGTAGCAGCATCTTACATTTTGTAGGGGCGAATCGCATGCCAAACATACGAAGATTGCTGCTCAAGGTGTTCAGAAGACTCTGCATTTTGTCAGCATCCTCCCCTAACAGGACTATGTCATCTGCATATTCTAAGTCCATTAGATTATTCCCTGGTAACAAGTCGATTCCTAAGTCACTACGTTCAGTTAAGGATACTTCCATTAGCATATCTATGATGAAGTTAAACAGAAATGGGGAAAGTGGACATCCCTGTCGGACACCACTGGTTGTTACCAATTCAGATGACAATTCCCCATAAGCCCTTACACGACTACGTGAGTTTGAATAGAGTGCCTTGATTAGTGCAATGTACTTTCTTGGCACTCCCTTCACAGTCAGACATTGCCATAGTACCTTTCGATCCACGGAGTCGAAGGCCGCCTTCAAGTCAAGAAATATGGCAATTGTTGGACGCCGAAAAGTGTGTCTATGTTCTAGAATCTGTCGAAGAGTGAAGATATGATCTATGCACCCTCTACCTGGTCTAAAGCCTGCTTGATTTTCCCTTGTCTGTTCCTCCCGAGTTCTGCTTAGTCTATGCATGATTACTGAGCCTAGGATTTTAGAGACTATGTTCGTTAGGCTGATCCCCCTATGATTATCACACGAGGACTTGTTTCCCTTCTTGAATATCGGTATAATAAGTGACTTACCTCAGTCTGATGGCACTGTCTCTGATTCCCCCACTTTGCCTAGTACCTCAGTTAATCTACAAACTAGTATGTCACTCCCATATTTAAACACCTCTGGAATAATTCCGTCGGGTCCTGCCGCTTTGCCTCGTTTCAAATTACTGATAGCTTTTGTGACCTCACTTACAGACAGGTTCCATACTCCATATCGATAACATTGTTTGAAACAAACCTACTTTTGTTATTACCATCATTATGATTATTATGGTCATTATTCTCATTTTATACTTTGCACAGATTTCAGATTATTCTCACTGTTAATGTGGATAAGTTTCTGTGGTTAGTTTCAGAGTAAATTAGGTGCAAAATTGTGAAAGATGCTGAAAATTTCATACTGTACTATTAGTAGTGTCTTTGGAATAAAACAGATCATGATTATTATTCAGCAGAAGAGGATTTCATTATTTAAAGTTTGATCATGGATTTATACTATTAAGGGAGATACTGAAAGCTAGGATAGAATGCCGTGCAACTATTTCGTCCTAGTTTGGCACTCATTAGTGGCACACACCCACCGGATTTCGATCCTAGGATCTCCCGATTACAGGTGAAGCCTGTTAACTTTTCGGCCATGGTAGAATGGTCACCAACCAGGTATGTATTTCAGGGTTTAGTTTCCGGTCGACACACACCTTTACCTTGCTAAGCCAGTAATAAGGCTGGTAAGGAGGGAAGGTTGGGCGTGAGTCAAGCGACCCCCTCCCTTTAAAAATAAAACCATTGCTTCCAAAACTTCAAAGCTCTGGCTTAGAGCCCTATGCTCCACTCAGAAGGTAAAAGAGGCAAAATATTTTTAAAAAATCCTCACTATATACTCTGACCTTCAATTTATAAGTGAGGCAAACAGATAACCTTTCAGTCAATAGGACTGAATCAAGTATCTCGTGAGTTCTAACCTCTTAACCAGTAAAATCGGCTTAGTATCTGTCCTTCAGACTGACACTTGTCAAGCCC